CCTATATATATATATATATATATATATATATATATATATATATATATACCACGTGTGCAAGTGATTATTTTGATGCATTTTTAATTCTCATTTAATCTTAAAATGCAAATTTAAAATAAATAGTTAAACATCTTTTTTATCGTGAGCGTTTAAAATCTTAGTGTTTACATTTTAAAAAATATGTTAAAAATTGCTTAAATATACCATTAATGAATATTTATTTGAATACATAATTGAAAAGCTAGTATTTAATATTTATGTAACCGTAAAATACTTCAAATACTATTTGACAAACCGTGAAATGTTTTAAATTCTACAAAAAACAAAAAAATTAGAATTTCCCAATTTAACAACATTAGTTTATTTATAATAATTCACTCGACACATAGTCAAAGTAGTTTTAACATAAATTATTTAAAATTGAAAATAAGTCAAAGTTTCTAAAAATAATTTAATTTAATTTTAAAAGATTTTTTATTTTGAAAATTTTAACATTTATTATTATGGAATTTATTTAAAAAATAATCTATATAAAGTAAGGGGCTGTTTGTAACCATTAAGAGCCAACATCTTAATCGGTAAAAGGTCAAGGTTGTTTGGCAAAAAAAAAAAAAGAGGCTCTTAATGATTACACTACCCTTCTTAACCATTTTGCATCTGGGGCTTCTCTAAACCATTTAGATTGTTCTTTTTCCAACTTTGTCTTCTCTCCCAAGCTTTCTTCACACGTCGCTCACAGCCCCTCCTCCCACCCTCTCGTCGCCGGTCTGCAAATCGCCTCCCCCACCCTACGATCGTCGGTCAGTATTCTTCTTCCAGCAGGTCTCACGTCGGCTTCTTCCAAGGCCGTCTGTCTTCTCCGTCTGTCGTCGTGGCCTCTCGTCGCCGTCGCTCGTCGCCAGTCGCTTCCATCCTTTTCCTCACTTCAGGTATTATTCTACCTCATTGTTATACTGTATTTTGAAACAACAGATCTTGAAATACCAGGAAACAAACATAAATTTCAGGAAACTTATACCCACTGTTATTGATTATCAAGCCTGGTTATACCCCATGGTATTTGATTTTCCAGGAAACCAACAGAAATTTTATGAGTTATGCACTGTATGTTGAAATTTCATGGGGTTATGCTTTATCTTTTCACAAGCCTGCTGTATGTGCACTGAAATTTCATAGGTTTATGCACTGTATGTTGAAATTTCATGGGTTTATGCACTGAGGGTTAAAATGATAATTTACTGTCATTCAGAGAACAGTTACCAAACAACATTATTTCATTCAACACTTAACCCTTCTGGCCCTCTTAATCATTCTGACCACTTAACTATTTTGCACTAAATCATTCAGCAACTGCCAAACAGCCCTTAATAGTAATCCAACTTGAATGGTGAAAAACATATGATGAGAATTTCATTTTCTCCTTTTTAAAGAATGTTTCAACTTTTTCTATCAACTTAAATATTTAATCCGTTATGCGAACCGACTAATTCCAGGACGATCATCCACAAAGTCGTCTCATTTGAATCTCCGTAACCACAAAAAGATTTTTATTCCTCTTTAAATTTGAACCTGATGCCTACTGTCATTTTTGACCTTTGAAACTTAAACTCAAACGAGTCGGACTCCACCTTTGTGGTTATAATGTTTTAACTTTATAACTAATGAAGTCAAGGAGGTGTTTTGTGTGGTCGTCCTCTTCAAATTATGTAATTTATTTATAGATGCATTTAAAATGTAATAAAAAAAATGAGAATTAAAAAACAAATAGAAAAATGGAAATTGTAAATGGTATTAAAAGATTTGTATATTATTAAATTTCTTTTGTACAAGAGAAGTAACAAAACTTAAATACGATAATTTAAAGTATCAATGATTCTGAAGCTTTGATGATCAATCAAGACCCAACGTGTCACCACTACCCCTCTCTTGTCTCTGCCACTTGTCCTTTCTTTATGTCCCCCACCTTCTTCCTAAAGGGCATTTTCGTCCATTCATTCATTTTGTTGTTTGGTTTTCAATTTCTTACACATCTCCCCCTTTTAAATTTCAAAATTAACACCAAACACCCTTCCATGTCCATAACTTCCTCTTACTACATCATACTTTGATCTCCATTCATATCTCTATCAGCGCTTATCGCGTAAACGACCTTTCTTGTCGTATCTCACTCTCTCTGACTTTTGTTTTTTTAATAGATTTCTTGATATCGTTGGCAACTGAACAGACAGAATCCTGTATCATCTTATTATATATCTGCCTCAAACTTTGTTATATAAAAACTGTAAGATCCACATGGTTGGTTCAACAAGGTCTTTGATTGTGTCATGAAAGAAAGCAGGTTTAATGATGACGTTGACGAGTCTTATGTTGGTATACAAGCTTACAACAAGTAGTGAGTTGGTAGCCTATACCATGTTACAACGATAGTGATATTGATAAAAAAAATGGTCATTACGTAACAAAAAGTAAGAACATGTTGACGTAAAGCGTAGACTGTTATAGCAGTAGTTGACTTGATACTGACGTCGATGCATATAACAGTTTATATCATATTCAACCTGTTACTTATTTTGTCATATAGTTGCATACGCACAATCTTCACCTTCCTAAAGAACAAAAGATTCTAAAGAACGTATCTCGTCCAGTGATCGTGAGATTTAAAGCAATTTACTTGTCATTTACAGGGCTTTAATTAGGATCGTATTTGTCAATCAAGAAATTATCGATCAAATAAACACAATCACTTATAAGATCAAGGGCACAAATGTAAATTTCATGTTTCCTTCTTTCGTTGTCCTGTTTTCTTTTTCCTTCCCCACGAATCTCTTCCTGATTTGCTCTCTCTCTCTCTCTCCTCCCCTTCTCTCTCTCTCTCTCTCTCCCTCTCTCCCCCCAAATATCCTTTCATCCATTGTTTCCGGCGATTGCTTGTCTCACTATTTCCGATTAAACCCATTTGTTCCCTCTTATCAATCTCATCGCTCCTGAAGAAATAATTTGATTACCGTAAGAAGATGCGGATTGTAATCAAGTTTCCCAATCTCGGGTTCTTCGAATCAGATCATGAAGTGTTTCAATTTGATTTTACTAAGTTAGCAGTCTAACAGATTCAATCTTAATTTCTATTTTGTGTGCGGTATGGGCGAAAGAACAAACAATGGGATGGAAAATTTATCTATACAGACAAAGAGCATGTTTCCAAGAGATTTGTTACAGAGATTTACAGTTGGTACTTCCGGTGCCGGAGCTCCGAGAAGATCCGATCCAGAAGAAGATCTGGGTTCGGTTTCCGGCGAGGAGGTGGAGTTGAATCTGGGGTTGTCGTTAGGGGGACGATTTGGTGTTGACAAGAGTAATACTAAGTTGATGAGGTCATCTTCAATTGCTACGATTTTGCCTGTGGTGCGAGACGACGACGTTTTGGGTGGTGGTCACGGCAATCCGGTTCCGGGTCGGTCTTATGCCGGCCTTATCAGGACGTCATCCTTGCCGGTGGAGACGGAGGAGGAATGGAGAAAGAGAAAGGAGCTTCAGAGCTTGAGGAGGCTAGCCGCCAAGCGACGCCGGTCGGAGAAGCAAAGAAATTTGACCAAGGGGGAGAGAGATGAGTACGTGGCAGCCATGAGCCGCGTGGGATCCTCTGCTGGACCGCCGTTCCGGTCGACTAAATGGGCATCAGGTGGTGCAACCGATGCTTATTCCGGTGGCGGTGCAACCAGAGGTGGCGGTGGCGGGTTGTCGTCGCAGACGTCGATGGAGTCGCAAGGGAGTATGTCAGAGTTTGAGAGTAGGCACCGGCAAGGTAACGATAATAAAATGTGCATTGCTTTATTGTACTTTATGCATTGTTATTTGTACTTTTTCATATATAAAAACGTGCTTTTTTGTTAAGGTGGTGAAGTTGATTTATATTTCCTCTTTGATGCCCTAATTGTTGGTTGGTAAAACTCTTTTTCCCATCCTTAAAATGATCAAATCCGATCCTAAATGCTCTCATCACATGTACATTATGCATTAGAAGTTGTACATTGGTCTGAATTACACCATTTCATCTTTGAGAAAAGGTTGAACATAAATAGTCCTTAAACTTTACTTAAATAACAATTCAGTCCTTTGATTTTTTCATTCTGAATTCGCAGTCCTTCAACTTTACTTGAATGACAATTCAGTCCCTCTGTCAATGCCATAAAAAAGAAGATCATCTTTTGACGGTTCTTGACGAGGAGAGTTCGTAACAACTAATACCGAGTTAAAAGATGACGAGTGTCGTTTAAGAACATATTAACAAATGTGGGATTTTCGTTGTTATAATTTATTATCTGATATGCTTAATTCAGGATCAAGTGGTAATGGCGGTGAAACAAGCTCGCTACAAGAACGAAAGAGCCATGATGCAACCGGTTCTAACCCACCGGAGGGGGAGGCTCCGGCCAAGAAACAAGGGAAAGAGATCGGGTCGTGTTCAATAGAGGAGATGCCGTGCGTTTTCACCCAAGGAGACGGTCCAAACGGGAGGGTAATCGAAGGAATTTTGTACAAGTATGGAAGAGGGGAACAAGTGAAGATAATGTGCGTTTGTCATGGGAGCTTTTTGTCGCCGGCGGAGTTTGTGAAGCATGCGGGCGGAACCGATGTCGATCATCCATTGAAACATATTGTAGTGAAACCCAGTTCATCGTTTTCTTGATGATGAAGATGGGGGTGTTGATTGTTTAATGGATGTGTTTAGATGTTTGTATAGTATTAATTGTTATCGATTTTGAGCTTGGATAAATGATCCTTGGATAAAAAGCATATAACATCTGTATGGGGATTGTAGTTTATATATTAATGGAATTATAAGGATTAGCAATTCGTTTAGAGAAATGGCTTAACGGATTTCTCTCTCTCTCTCTATATATATAGATAGATATACGTATATATAGAGAGTCAGGTTCATATATACAAAAAACAGTAAGCATATAAGAAATCACGAAATATTTGAATCACACATGATTTTATACTAAAATCATGTTTAAATTATATATATATATATATATATCATTTATAGGTGGAGGTTCAAACGAAAACACCTTCATTTTACGAGAACACAATAACACCCTTATCACATGTGATAAATACGCGTGAGGGGATCCTGTGATGTGCGGACGATGTGTTCTACGACTTAGGCCGCGCCAAATGTTGTCTGCGTCTATGATTTAGCATCACATGTGATGGTCTTGCTTATCACATGTGATAATACTTGCGAGTGGACTTAGTGGTGTAAGTGCGACTTGGCCCGTAACCAAGATTGCATCGAAAATCGCCTGGATCTCTGATTTAATATTACATGTGTATCATATGTGATGGAATAATAGTATCACATGTGATTGTCTATAGTAAAAGGGTATTCTCGCATTCTCGTAAAATGAGGTGTTCTCGTTTGAATCTTTCCCATCATTTATATATATATATATATATATGTGTGTGTGTGTGTGTGTGTGTTATAATTTTAAATTATATATAACATATATATAATTTTATAATTTTAAATTATCAATACTATATTATAAAGCATTTGACAAAAACTCTTAAAAACCATTTTTTATGTATGAAGTACTGCTTATTGATGCATATTACTTAAAATTCAAGATTACAAGTAAATTTTGCGTAAGTACAACATATTAAAGTTTCATGTTTGAATTCGTGTAACTAACTGCATATAAACATAATCAAATTGAAGATAAACATCTCATTTTAAATATAAAAAATTTAAAAGATAATTAGAATAATCATTTTTATAAAAAAAATACTTATTAAAATCAAAATACTTAATTATTATTTTTATAAAAAATATATTATTAAATCAAAAAAACGAATTAAAGAAATACACAAAAAAGAGAAATTTTAAAGTCATTTTGGTACTAATATCAATATATTTTTTTTCAATTTCTTATAACATCGACCGAGACAAAAAAAAAACCAAAATATTAAAATCGAGATGTATCTCGCTGCATTGTACGAATACCCTTCTTGTATCATATAATTCTTGAGTCATTGATCAAGCTAAGAATGAATATATTCTATGCAAAGATCATGTAATCCAATTCAACTTTTTTCTAAGATTATATATAACATATATTAATTCACTCTCTGTTTAATTTATTGAGAGTTAATATGATCGTATGTTTCTTAGACATAAATTGGATATTTACGTTGTCTTGGCTAATTCCATAATAGTTTTGCTACAAACATGGCTACATCACCCTTGTATATGTTTCAGGAAGGTGGAAATTAGATGATACGTGTGAATCCTGATGTATCTCAACACTCATACTTGGATAATTGCACCGATGATTCTTTGTTATATAAGCAATTGGTCACCAACTGTGTAACTGGTTCCGTCCCTATTTTGCTGCTTTATCTGTATAACAGTTTTTTTAATGTCTGTGTGAGTTTTATTTAGGCCAATTGTTCAAGATATCTCAGCTGTTAAACATTACTTGTTATGATTACATAGAACTGTGGTAGAAGTTGCCAACCATGACTTCTTTGTAAGCCATGCTTAGATCATTTACATGTTTTTTATGAGTCGGAACGTAGTTGTGATTTTGATCATCGTTGGGAACATGTAGCTCCATTTGAAGTAATCACATTAAACAGAGTTAAATTTGGATCATTGTCAAACATATATACAGAGTGAACATCATTTTTGTCTAGTTATGTTTTCTTTCAATGGTTTTAGATCAGATACGTAGTCAGTGAGCTTTATCTGTTGTTTACTCAACTGAATTTGGGGTTTTATCAGATTAAAGAAAGTGTATGTTTTATAGCTGCATCAGATCAGATCTAACAGAAGCTCGGTTAGGATGAGGATTGAAGATAAAATGGTGGAAATTTGGAGAATGGTTATGGCTACATGAAATAAGATATTAATGTAATTCTTTTACTATATTCCTCTTTATTGTTTATCTACAATTCATAATAAAATTCTACGTCCCGCTGTATTGCAAAGGGTATACAACTAACATATAAATATGTCTATTTGTATAGGAAAATTCAAATAAAATTAACTGTAATTTTTTAATAAAAAGTTCTAAGTTATTGACAGGTTAATGATGGATAAATCCGGCTGTAAATTTATTTTATTTAAAAAAATAATTATTTAAACAATTAATTACCAGCTGAATAATTGCTGACGGACCCGGAAATCCGCATATAATTTAATCTTAATTATTAATTTAATTAATTAAGTCAAGGAAGTTGAATTTTTTTAGAAAAATATCAGTGGCGGATTTCCAACGGCCATAATCTACCAGAAATGGTCAATCTGTCAGATATTCCACCGAAAATAGTGTTTTCTAGCTATAAAATCCGTCAGAATGTGTTTCGTAGTGTACATAACATGGAGTGAGATCGAGAGAGACCAGTAAAAAAAGGAACCAAATAGTCAATCCAATATCGTTAGATTGAGATGATCTAGCGGTTAAAAAGTTGTTATAACCACCTTCCTTTTAAAATAAACATATTTTTTTCTAATTAGTTACATAGAAAATCGGTAAAGTATATCAAAAGTTGGAGTGAAACAAAATACGCCAGTTTTCATATACCTTTTTCATGAGTTTTTTTTGTAGTTTATTATCTTTAATTTTACATCCAATTTAATATACATTTTTCATCGGTTTTTATTCATGGTTCTGTAGTTCTTTTTTCATAATTCTCTCTTAATCTTTTCCATGTGTATCATTATATATATATATATATATATATATATGTGTGTGTGTGTATGCTAGAAGGGTACTCGTGCAATACATCGAGATACATTTCGATTTTAATGTTTCGTTTTATTTTGTCTCCGTCGATATTATAATACGATTTTATGTACTACTGAAAAAACGATAATGTTTTGTTTTTTGAATAAAATATAAATTTGAAGGTATCATAAAATTTTGAAAAAAAAAAAATGTACCGATTTTAATATCAAATTAAATGTTTAAAAGTTCTTATTTTTTTGTATAATTTATTTAATTCAGTTTTTTATTATAATTTAAGTTTGATTTGATAGTGAAGTCATTTATTGTTGGTTTGATGATATTAGTTTTGTTTTTAGAAAGACAATATTTACTATTTTGTAAGAATTCAATGATTATTCTAAATATATTATAGATTTTTTACATTTAAAATGAGATACCTATCAAGTATTTGATCATGTTTATCTGCACTTAGTTACACAAATTCAAATATGTAGCTTTAATAAGTTGTACATACACACAATTTACTTGTAATCTTGAATTTTAAGTAATATGCATTAATAAACAATACTTAATGCATATGAAATGATTTTTAAGAATTTTTGTTAAATATTTTATAATATATATATATATATATAG